TTTTCAGTGTTGCTGCAAATGTTGCCACCCCTCTCAGATCCTCTCTCAAACCGTATATGGTTAACATGCTGGTTTTCCTTGTGGGTAACAAGGATGTGACCGAGCTATAAATCACCATCATTCGTGTGTGAAAGTGAAAGTGAAATGATAGTGCGCCCGCCCCCCGGCGCGCGCGCCCGGCACATGTAATTTTTTTATGCTTGATTTCAAACAACTAAACAAAATGGGGACTTGTTTCTTATTTGTTAGATGCTGCAGCCAAATTTGCATTTAAAAGTTTAACCTTCTCCTGAATTTTGTTGTTTTTAAGTTCAGTTGGACTCCGACTGTCGGAGAAATAAACGTTACTGTGATCTGTGTTGTTACTGCCCTTTGATCAGCATTCAGTAAAGTGTTATAAAAGAAGGCACGGCAATTTTTAACCTTTTTCAAATGTGTAAACATTATGTTTAGACAGTACTGCAATAAAAAAAAAGTGCTGCAATAATATCGCACACCGCAATATTAAGCCACCCTGAATCACCGCAGGGGGAATTCCTCAACCGCGACAGCCCTAGCGGTGTGTACATAATGACGTAAATTCAGCTTTAATAATTTTTATTCTATACAAACTCTGCAGATTTTAGAAGCATTAATGCATATTGATATCGGCAAATATCGGTTATCGGCCATAACAGTGATCTTAATATCGGTATCGGCCCCAAAATGTCATATCGGTGTAGGGTTGTCACGGTATGAAAATTTAACCTCACGGTTATTGTGACCAAAATTATCACGGTTTTCGGTATTATCGCGGTATTTTTTAAACGGTGTTGCATATGTTCAGAAAGCATTGATAGTCCTGTTCTACACAAACTGAAATAGTTTTGAAAAGGTTTAACAATGTTTATTAAACCTAAAATAACACAAAGCCTTAGCAAAAGTGCAACTTTTCACAAGTAAAGGAACAAATAGCTTATTTTTCTGGAACATGTTACAGTAGTCAGTGCAGGTTTAAATTATACAAATACAAACATTCAATCCATAAACAATATGTAAACAAATCAAAGAAACACCACTTGTTTTCTCATATACTTGTTTTCTTCATTATCAAAATGAAAATCTAAAACTCCAGTCCACACTTGACTTGAGCACTGTACAAGTCAACCTTAAAAAAATATGTATTTAAAATAAATAGCCACTTTAAACAAATTACTAAAATAACTACTACACTATGTAATCAAATCCAAATGTTCAAGTATAAATGGCCTTGAATAAGTAAACAAATCAATGACAAGGAACTAATTGTATATTTCTCTTCATCATCAACAAATACGATGCTTCATCCAGCAACAGGGTGTCCGTGACACGGTTTAAATGCTGGCAGAGGACGCTGCGGCCGCAGTATATAGTGACTCGTTGCATTCTCCCTCAACCAAAAGTCCTCACGTCATGCATTTAAGCTAAAATGCTAATGTCAACTTACCTTGCACTGGCTGTAGAGACGTGGGTGATGGTCACGCAGATGTGCCATTAGATTGGAAGTGTTGCTGCCTTTTGCAGACACTTGTTTCCTGCACGTTCTGCAAACGGGATAGCAGTCTTCTATTAACTGTCCCTCAGCATTTTTCAGAAATCCAAAATATGCCCATACTTCCGATTTAGTCTTCTTTGAGGGCTGATGGATGTCCTGGGCGCTGCCGTCTCCTCCTTCGGCCATTATTTCAGCTTCAAAGTTTTGGTGCCGTTGCAAACTAAAAAGTGCGTGTGCGCGCCGCGGGAACTTCAGCTGAAGCGACGGTGGCTGGTAAGGGTCACCGCGCCGAAACCGCGGCCACGGTAAACCCACCGAGATAATTTAGTTTTTTAAAAACTGGACGGTTATTTTTATTGTCAACTTTTTTACCGGGTTTTACCGCTATACCGGTTACCGTGACAACCCTATATCGGTGCATCACTAATTATTGAGTTGTAAACCTCTCATACCAGTAGTGGTCTGCTGCTAAAAGTGATTGGAGGACCCAGGGAAGTGCAGCGATTCAGCAAGTCTGACGGCTAAAACGGATGGTCCAATAGTTCCTTTCAGTCCAAAACATGTTATTGGTGAAGGCTTTTAGACAAATGCGCGAGAACCACTTTTTCGTTTTCTTCTTATTTTTAATCTCCACGATATATTTATAGCTATACTATGTTAAGGTATGAGAAAATGTGTTAAGCTAATCTGTTTTCCAAATTAGTTATTGTAGCTTTATACATGGTGATTTGTCCTTAATCAGGATATGATATTAGTTTTATTTTGTTAAACTGATTGTTTACTACCTTTTTAAAAAGACCACCCTCTAATTAGTCTTGCTGAAATTACACAACACTTCCATAGAACCTGACACAATGAAGAAAAAATACACTTAAGGAGGTCGTAGTAAGGTTGGGCGATTGGACACGTTTGTTGACCAATGTCTAAATCAGGGGTGTCAAACTCAAATTCTCACTGGGCCAAAATGAAAAACTGGGACGAAGTTGCGGGCTAAAATCAATGTTTTTTAAAAAGTGACGGCAAATGTGCACATTTTCCTTTATCTACAGATATGAACGGTTGAACCTTTTCATTTGGAAATAAACTTATTTTTGCAGTAACACTGAATGTGGAATAGCCAAATGACACACGAGCAAGTCCATTTTAAACAAAGCACACATCAGTGGTATTCATTACCTATGTCTCAATTTTGTTTTAATATTTTATTCCTTAAATTCTGCATATATTCAGCATTTCTTCATTTTTTTAATCTGTTAAATCTTTTAAGGGTTTCTATTTAATTTTTTCTTGTTTATTCTTTATTTTTTACTCTCCTTTGTTGCTCCTGTAATGGATGTTATTGCTGCTGTGACACCAAGCTTTCCCCACTCAGGGACAATAAAGGGATTTTCTATTTTATTTCTATTTCTATTCTTCTATCTGTAATCTGTCCTGTTTTAAAGTAGGTGAAATCTTTTTTCACAGGCCAACAACATAAATAAATAATAATAATTCGCTTAAATGAAAATGCAATATCTAACCTATTAACGTTCATGCTTTGGAGCAGAAAAGGTTAATAAAAACAAAATAATTCAATCCCAGTTTTCCCCACTCTGATTTCCTGTGATGCTCACCTGTTCCAGCCAGACCTGCATCTGTGGAGTTGGGCTCTGAGCTGAGAGGAAGGAGTTCATCAGTGAGAAACAGTTGCTCACACAGGTTTGCGCTGCTGGACATGGAGAGCATCTGGACCACGCAGTTGTGTCGGGGAGGGGGATAAAAGCAGCAGCAGCCACAGAGTCACAGTGACCTGAGTGTGTCGCTAAACTGGAGTTAAATCATCTCGGTCTGGAAGTTGGTCAGTGCGCTTTCGATGTCAGCCGCAAACATTACTGGGCTGTTAAAATCCATTTTTGGGCTTCAAAGTCGGCAAATTTTTGAGTAAACTTGACGCTAAGTAAGAGGAGTGTTTTCAGTTTGTCCGAGGCAGAGGAGGTACCGCTGCAGACGCTGATGCTAGTAGCATGGATGCTAATGACTGCAAAGACATACCGGTTTTTCTCCTTGAAGCATCAACATGTTTCATCTTTGTTGAAACACCCTTCATTCTGCATCCATCTCTCTTCCTGGACATTTTGGGATGAAGTGTGGACAGTTATTTTCACTTGTTTCATTAATTAAACATGGAAGTAGATGCACTGCGACCTAGTGGCGAGTCACTGCACTGGGAACACAATCGCCATGCATTATGGGAAATGTAGTTTATAGTCAATGTGCACTTTGAAGCGACATAGACTTATTTTAAGACACTTGAATCTCCGCAAGCCACATAAAATAATGTGGTGGGCCACATCTGGCCTTGTGTCTGACACGTGGTCTAAGCCCTTTACCGACAGCTTTTTAACAGCAATGTTTTTTATTAAGGATGGACAATATATCGGCATCAATATCGGTATCGGCCGATGTTAGTCATTTTTTAACATATTGGTATCGGCCCGATAAATAAAACCGGTCAATATTAACAACTGATATTTTTTTCCATCTTGTCTCCATTTGTTTGCTTGTTTCAGAGGGTGAGGGGGGTGATGTGTAATTGTTTAGTCATGTGAACAGTGAATGTAATCATCTCAGAAGCGTAAATGTGTGTGTTGTGTGTGCATAATAATGTAAATTCAGCTTTAATAATTTTCATTTTTTACAAAATCTACTGATTTTAGAAGCATTAATGTGTGCATATCTGTTATCAGCCATAATAGTGATCTTAATATTGGATATCAGTATCGGCCCTGTAGCGTGTTTAACTACATACTAGAATCAACACTGTGGCTGTGTCTCAATTCAGGGTCTGCATCCTTCGAAGGACCCAGCCCACCCGGCCGACGTGGGCTGCGTCCTCCGTCGGCCGGGTAGACCGGATGTTAACGGCTGTGAATTTGGACAGGCCTAGCCTTCATGAACTCCCTCGGCGAACGTTCCGTCGCCTAGCAACCGTGGAACCGCTGGGCAGAAGGCAGAAGGAACCTTAAACGATGGAGCTCGACGTTTTATTTAGCTTTTTAACCCCCAGAAACCCAAATTTAGAAAACAACTGCAAAATATTTTTTAACCTTTCACATGTTGTTCTAGGAGGCCAGATAAACGGGCCTATTTACACATTTTAACAGCCAATAGTGTTGCAGAACTGAATAGGACCTATTAGCAATGTAAATGTGGTTTTAAAAAGAAAAAAAATGGGGAAGGTTTATTTTTGTAGACTTAAATCTGATGTTGTAATACTACAACCGTGGGTCTCTGGGGGTTAATCATTTCCTTGACTGTTGGAGAGCTAATTCAGAGAAAATACTTAAGACTAGCTGAGCCTGAGCAAAGATGTGATAATAGTTTTTAATACTTTCTAAGGGTCTTACTTTGACCAAAACCGATTTATCACCTTTTAAGACTTTTCAAGACCCAGCGGATACCCTCTAGTAAACAATTCTCATTTGTAAACACAAATAAAATTGAAGAGTTTAATGCAGAACTGATTTTATTTAGATATTTCTTTTACATGTACATGTTTAATCTTCATTAACCATTTTTTTCTAGCAAAGTAAAAAGCTGTCAAAGTTCTTCCTTCTCTCCTGTGCTCTCTGCTGCTCTGCAGCCTCATGTCCTCCCAGATCAGCTCCAGAAGCTCATCGCTGGCACCTTCCCCTGGATGCCCATTTTCTCCAGAATAGTCTTAACAAACATGTAAGAAAAGAAACAGGAAGAGAAAAGAGGACAACGGGTTATTCCTTTCATGTTTTCGCAGAAAAAAATATACTCAAACGAGTTTTTAAAATATGAGATGTTATTGTACCTCCATGCCACAGCCGCCGAATACTTTGCTCCGGTGATCATGTGGTCCATCTCCGCCCTAAGCTTAATAAATTCCCTGGTTTTCTCTTTTGGTCCTAAAATACAAACTTCTATTAAAATCAGGGGGAAACGTAGCGGGAGAAGTACGACACCGAGCGCGGCCGAACATACGAGCCGAGACCGCAATACAAGCACTTTTACTGTAACATTTCTAACTAAAATAACGTTCATGTATCACAAAAAGTCCTTAAACTGACAGTTTTCAAGTTTATACTTACATTTATAAGCGCAATCCTCTCCGACAGCTCCCGCTTCACTGTCCGCCATTGTTTTTAAGTTTTTCTGCCGGCCGGCCCGCAAGGCATCTTGGGAAATGCTACCTATTGAAGGATACACCCGACCCATCCTTCATTCAGGCGAAAAGAAGGCCGCATTCGTCGACCGCATTTGAAGGAGTCTTCGAATTGGGACAGGCCGAGTTGCGGCGCTGTGACGTAACCGGCCGACGAATCCGGCCGAGGTAGGATGCAGACCCTGAATTGAGAAACAGCCTGTTTGTAATCAGTTTTGTTAGATTCTGAGAAAAGTTCCAACAAGTTAACAATGAAGCTTCTCTCATATATAAATATCTAGGATATTATATATTCGATAGAAGTTCATATGCCAACGAGTTTGGTCTATTTTTAATCCAAAGATTAATGTTTAATTTAAGATAATTAAATTTAATAGCAAAATTTTATTTATTTAATCAGAAGTTTAAAGGAATCTTTGCTTTTTCAATAACCAGAAGTATACACCATTCTGTGTTTCATTTCAAAGAAGAGTCAAGTTTTTAAAGTTAAGAATTTATTACTAACACTTTTAGAAATGACAATTTGATATTAAAACTTGTTTTAAAGGCAAACCTGTGACTGAATGGAAGCTAAAATGAAAATGCGAGTTTTTGGATGCGTCAAAGAATATCAGAAGGTTTCTTTGAGCGAGAGAAGCGTTTCTGGCTGGAAAGTTGTTTTGCAGCTAACTGAGTCGTTTCTTAGGAAGAACGGCATCAAACACCATCTGTGTGCTACCTCACCCAGCAAGACGACCCTCTGTGTGGATCCGGAGGTCAAGGAGGATGTTGTCAGCCTCAGGGGTACTCGGTCCGGTAGAGAAGACTCGAGTAGAACCGATCCTCTGGTCCAGAGGTGTCATGGGTACACGGTATCGAGTGTCTGGCTTAACTCTGAAGGAGTTTTGCGTCAGCTGGTTACATTGCGTTTATTCAGAGCAATTCTATTGGCGTGACCGAATGCTTAGTAGAGATTCGGGCGTCCGTCCCTCGTCTCCTGGTGGGTTCAAGAACTGAACTTTTGCTGTGGGATTTTTAGTTTTAACAAAACCCTCAGAACACACCCTCTCAGCGTCAGAAAGCTTGGTCATGAGCTAAAGACATGTGATGGTTTTACCCTTGACCCTGGATATCCTCTGAATGAGGCTGGTTAACGTGCGAGATGACCTTCTGGTTTGCTGAACACACATAACCGATCATCAACAATAATCATTATTATACCCAAAGCATAATAAGTTATTTCAGTAATTAAAATACATTCATACTGAACCAAGAGATTATTTATGATGATTGTAATAACAGTAATAAAGTCAAGAGTTTATTAAGATTATTATTTAAAATTATTATTGTGAAACTTGAAGTGTCCTTCATCCTGGGACGGAACAGCAGCAGATAAAGATGATTTTCAGCAGACATCACGGCTCCTGGCGTTGTTAATCTGTGGGGCAAAGTTACAGTCGACCCAGCCTCACCCAGCTGGGAAAATGTGACCTTTGTCACAAATTAGAGGCCATTCTTAACGCTACAGCCCAAAAATTTCATATCAGTGCATCACTATTTATTATGCCTATGAATTAGTCTCGTGAATGGGAAATTATGTACTTTCATGTCTAATGAGTGTCATTTATGCAATGCTGTTTCTTTGTACATATACATGCTATCAGCATCATTAAAAAAACTAGGATTCTTGTGATTTCAGTAAGATACGCCAATCAAGGAAACAACTATACCTGTAGACACAGTAAACATTTTTGTCATGTCTTTTTGAGGGGCCTGCGTTCTTGTGAAGGACAGGTGTAGATGAAGGTGGGGTTCACCTGTTGAGTACATGAACTTTTTGTTTGCATTGTATAAGAAACTTTCACAGACCACTGCAACGTAAAGCTAGGATGCCTGCAGAACCCTCTGTCTAAATCAGCAGTGCCTGTTGGCCATGCTGCGTCCACCTGCCAACGTAATCCTCTCATCCTCTGCTAGTGTCTGTTCACCTGCAGGAGACTGATCTATACTCCTGCAATATAACAGAAACACACTCATACAGTGGAAAAAGCATTATTTATCTAAGGATTTTAGAAGATAACTCATGTTAAAAATTAAATAGAAAACAGATGCATTAGATTTTTAGATCAAGCATCTTCTACAGAGTTTTAAATGTTTGATGTTAATACTTTGTTCAGTGAATGTCTAATATAACCATGCTTGTGAAATATTTTGGTTCTTCAACAAGATTTACCCCCTGGTATACCCCAGGGTGTTATAGGCTACAGAGCATCTTGTATTATCAGCCAGTCCACACTCAACAACACACACCTCGCTGGCTCATTAGTCAGAGGGAAGTCAAGACAACTACTTGACAAACCCCCGGTGTGATTTGTGCTAATTCAGTATTGGACCTAAGCTGAACATCATTTATCAAACTGATTTGTCACAGCAGATAGAAAGTGAGAGCTTTCAGGAAGATGCTGGCATGCTTCTGCTATAGCAGCATTTTTCTGTACAACTGCAGTTTAGGCTGTTGTAGGTTTAGCTTCCAGGAAACCGAACATCTCAGCTAGCGTCTCAGTTAACTGTTAGCATTAGCGACTCCACCACACAGCAGGACTTCCTCAGGCTTGTGTTATTTGTGGAGATAAATTGTCAGCGTTGCAAAATAAATGAGTCAGTGGTAGTCACATTGCTGCTATCTAATCAGATGTAAGATGTCCAAATATCAGGAAATACGCATCCAAAACCTGCTGTCTGAAGCTATTTTCTCCAGCTGACTCCAGGTGTTTCTGAGCTTTTTTTTCCCCAGAGTACGACTTGCTTGGCAGTCATTCCTATTAGAGACCACTGCAAATGTATTATTAAACAAGTGTTCCACACCTTTAACAACAAAGTCTGTATTATTTCAAATTGTGTCCAGTGTTTTTTGAATTGGTTTTGTCTTTGATAGTTGTTAGCTGTACTGTCAAATTACTTGGACAAAAGAATGCATCCTTTTGAATTTAAACAACAAACCGAACATCAAAGCCACTGCTCTTGTCAATTATTTGTTTTATAAAGTTCTTTTTTGTCCAGCTTTCCTGTTGTATGGTTTTATAATCGTGAGAAGAATTAGTTTAGTTGTACACAGTTGTGCTCGTAATGTCTCTTCACTATTGATCTGCTTTGCAGCAATCGGGCTCGTCACCTGGCGCATGTGTTGAGGAGTGTGGTGATGAGAAGGAAACGGATTGAGAAGAGGATGAACATAAAACAACTAAAACATCTCACTGCAGGGTGAAGAATGAGCTGCTGTGGTGTTTAAACTAACTACCAGGAGTATGGAGCTAGAATTGGGACACTATTACATGTAACTTGCACCAAGTTTTGTAACTTGTAACATATTTTGTTACTGTAACTTTCGTTTTGTAGCATATAATTCACATTTTGTAACATATAACTTTGGTTTTGTAGCATGTAGTTCCTGTTTCATAACATGTAACTTTGGTTTTGTAGCATGTAGTTCCTGTTTTGTAACATGTAACTTTGGTTTTGTAGCATGTAGTTCCTGTTTTGTAACATGTAACTTTGGTTTTGTAGCATGTAGTTCCTGTTTTGTAACATGTAACTTTGGTTTTGTAGCATGTAGTTCCTGTTTTGTAACATGTAACTTTGGTTTTGTAGCATGTAGTTCCTGTTTTGTAACATGTAGCTTTGGTTTTGTAGCATGTAGTTCCTGTTTTATAACATGCAACTTTGGTTTTGTAACGTACAGGAAAAAATATCTATTTACAAGTTTTAAATCACAACTCTCAAATCACACATCTCAGTCTACAGTTAAGAAACTCAAGTCTGTGAACAAAACATTTTGTCCAAATTCTAGCTTCCTTCCCAAGGAACCAATGAGAATTGCATGCTACAAAATGAAAGTTTTGTATTACATAATAATTACACTAAACAAAATAGTAGTTCCAGGTTAAAAAACAAGTATTGTGTTACAAAATAAGTTAGTCACAAAATATGTTACAAATTACAAAACTTGTACAAGTTACACGTAATATTGTCCCAATCCTAGCTCCATACAGGAGAGATTAAGACTTTTCTGTAGGATAGAGCACAGAGGTCACAACAGCCTGCGGGGTCAAGAGGTCACCAAACTGAGACTCTGCTGTCACTTGTACTGAATCGTTATTAATATTATGTACATTTAATCATGTATTTTAATGCTTCCTTGAGAAACACATTTTCTATAAGCTATATGCCACTAACAAGCCAGGTCTCCCTCCTCTTTAGTTGGAAGGGTGTAACAAACTTGTTTCTGTAAGAATTAATTATTCTTCAGGACATTTTTCCATTTGGACTCATATCTGACTACCTGAGCTTGCTAGATATGACTTGCAGTAATTACTTATGCTTTGATCTAGGATGTTTAGGCCATTAGTCCCTTTTGTGGATGCTGTAGCTTTACCCAGGTTCATGCACGGATTTATCTTTCCCATCAACAGAGGCTGTTTTATTCTTAAACTATACTTCCCGAGAACAAACCTTTTTTTGGATTTCCTCAAAAGACCATCTCAAAAGTCTAACCTGCAAACAATCTAATCACACACTATTAACTAGGGGTGCACCACATTTTTTCTAAGTACATCCAGCCGTAATGCACTGAAGACTACATGAGTAGTTTCCTGTTTGCCTCTAAATGGATAATTAAACTTACCTGTGGTTTATTTCTTGTTAATTAGAATTTTATAGGTCTTAAAATGACCATTTCTTCTAAGATTAAATTGTGGTAGATTCAGTTTAGCAGCATGGGCTTGAATTATCTTGTTTGTAAATGATCTTTTTTTTTGTGTGAGCAAGACGGCATATCTTGTTTGCAGCCATTGGCTGAAATGTTGATTCTGAAAGGAAACTAAGATTTTTCTGACAAATCTGGTGAGGTGTACTCCTTTATGCTGAGCACTATTATTTATCATTTTGCCATATTTAGCACCCCTAACTACACATCAAAATCATATCAGTGTCAATATTAATAAAACAAATAGTGCAAATAAACTGCAAACATGAACTACATGCAAAAAATACCTAGACCTGAACCGCCACATTCCTAAATATTTACAGCTATCTATTCAACTACAGGCTGGATCTTTATGTAATCCTG